CTTTGCAAAGTGGATGACGTTGAGGGCCCTTGTGGTATTGTCTCTTGCTTCTCATCCCAGTATAAATACGACTTGGTTGGGGTCGACTAAGTCCAGCAGGATCCGCATGAGTCGGAGTGCCAGGACCTTCGCGAAGAGCTTTATGTCTTCGTTCAAGAGCGATATTGGTCAGTAACTTGCACAACAGATCGGGTCCTTGCCCTCTTTAGGATTGACTGTCACAGTTGTGGCTAGAGTGTGGGATGGGAACTGTTCACCTGAGCAAATCGAGTTTAGGCCTATAAGGAGTCTCGGCATCAGTATGTCTTTGAAAGTGGTTAGGTATGTTAGTGGGAGGCCATCCGGGCCAGGCGCCTTGTGGGCTTTGGATTGTTTCAGGGCAGCTGCTAATTCTTCGAGCGTCAGGGGTAGCTCAAAGTCGGTCACTGACTCCGGGGATATTGTGCATGCAACATGCTGTTTGAGGTATTCCGTGATGCGTTGTCTGTGGCGTTGCGCGGCTGCGCCCGTCCTGGTCTGTGTCTGGTAGTACAAGTAGTTGTAGTAATTTTGGAAGGCTTCTGGGATGCCTTCTGGGAGCCTTATGATGTGTTGACCCTTGGTCCGTATCTTGTGGATGTGTTGTCTCTCTCTCTTGTCTTTCAACATCCGAGCTAGCAGACAACCACTTTTGTTCGAGTGTTTGTAGAAGAACCTGGTCGATTTCCATATGATGAATTGAAGCCCTCGCGACAGGAGGTTACTGAGTTCCCTATGTGCCTCTGTGAGTTGCAGGTATGTACTGTCCTCTAATGTGTGTTTGTGGTCCTGTTCCAGTGCGGCTATGCGTCTCGTTAGATCGGTCGTGAGTTGTGTCCTGTCCCTTTTACGTTGTGTGCATTCTGTGATAAAATGACCGCGCATGATACATTTGTGTGCCTCCCAGAGATTCAGCGGGGGCATGTCAGGTGTGTTGTTCATGTCGAAGAATTGTTGGAGAGTTTTGGCGGCCTTGTCTGTGAACCCTACGTCATTCAACAGGCTTTCATTTAGTTTCCAGTGGCGTTCACTGGGTTTAAACAATGAGGAGCTAGTGCAGACTGTCACAGGTGCGTGGTCAGTGTGATCTATAAGTCTAATTTCTGAGTTTTGTAGGATTGTCAGGTGTTCCTGGGCCATGAAGATGTAGTCTATTCGGCTGTAGTGTTTGTGTACGGTAATCCCGGCTGTCCCTCCAGCAATTTACCAATCCCATCCGGCATATTGATCTGAGAGCTGACCAGAGCCAGTGTGAGGGGACTGCACTGGTTCTTCTAGAGGAGTCCAGACTTGGGTCTAGGGGTAGGTTAAGGTCTCCAGCCACCATTCGCTAACCCTCCCTAAATATTTCTAGCTTGGCCATCGTTTTGACCAGGAATGAAGGGGGGCAGGGCCCAAGGCGAAAGTATAGGATATGTAGAGAGTTGGGGGGGGCAGAGAGGAGGCTGGGTTGAGGGGGGATGATATGTGGGGGGTGTGTCCGGTCGTGTGGTACGTTAGCCAAAGTTGATCTTATGTTATCCCAGTCCGTGCCATGTGAGAGGTTGCATGGTGGCCTGTAGACATCGGGGTCGCCAATAGGAGTAGCAGGCCCACCTCGCAGCACCCCTTCTTTGCCCTGTTCCCCCTCCCAAAGCCATAGGTCAGTGGCGATCTTCCCCCGTGTCCCATTTATGGTTACTGCCTTGTCCTCGTACCCGGCAAACCCGATCCCACCCAAACCCCAGGGTCCCGCGGGTCACCTGCATCATGATGTCCGGGTTAGGGTCATGTGTGTAAAAATGAGAGTAAATACCCCCGTGGTTAGGATCCTCATGGCAGGCAGGAAGCTCAGCGGTCTGGTTGCTGTGAGCTGGGTCCAGGTTCGGATTGACTGGTCGGGGCGGGCACGGACCTCGTGGTAGTTCTTCATTCCTCTGGTCCCACTAGGCCTCCCCTGAGTCACTGTGGCCTGCGTTCAGGGCTTCCGCGGATGTTGTGTGCTGGTTCAGTGGGGCCGGTAGCTCATGCCGGGGGTCCTTCGAAGATCCAGTTAGGGACGTTGACGTGTGGGAGGCCTGTAGCTCATAGGAAGTGTGGGGCATCATTGGGCCAGTGGATGGTGTGCCAGTGGTTGTCGACTTTGGCCTACAGGCTGAACGGGAACCCCCATTTAGATAAGATCCTCTTTTCTTGCAGTAGGCGTGTGATTAATTTCAGGGCCTGGCGGGTCCTGGTAGAGTGAGACTTGCGCGTCCATGAACAGGATATTGTGTTGCGCTCTCGCCTCCCTTATGATTGATACCTTCAGCAGATTATGTCCCTGGGCAGGCCGTCCCTCCTGGCTCGGTGGGCCCTCTCGATGCCGAAGTCTTGCGGTGCACCGTCTCCGAGTAACTGGGAGAACAGACTCATTAGCATTTCATGTGGATTTTCACCCTCTGTCTCTGGATGTGTATATTGTTCTGCTGGCCTCTGTTGTCGAGGTCTTCTACTTGTCTCCTGAGGTCGAGGATGATATTGCCCTGTCTGTTAGCCTCCAGTTCTGCAGCTTGGTGGTGCTGCTCCGCTTGCATGCGGTCAACCTCCAGGTCATCTACCCTGTGCTCGAGTGCCGTAAGGCCGTGATTTCTTCCCGGATTACTGACCGGAGCTCCGACACCATCTTAACTTTATCTTTACAAGTGAGCATGCTCGCGGAGATGGCGGCCAGGTCTGCAGAGATTTGGGAGAGGACATCTGCATCCTGGGAGCCCAGCGTTGAGCCCGGCATTGAGCATGCCATGCTCGCGGAGATGGGGAAGGGAGGTGCCATATTGTCTTGGTCCCGGGCGCCGCGTAGGCCATGTGGCGTAGGGAGGTAGTCATCCATGGGGCCAGGTTGCTGTCGGTGCTGTGTAATTTGCGCCAGCCCTGGAGTGGCTGGTCGTTTAGTTTTCCCCATATTATTGCTGTTATTTGCTGTGTTTTAAGGCTTTTGCGGGTTGGGGCCTAAGAAATTGAGTCTCGTGCGTCCTACTCCATGAGTAGCCAAGCCACATATGGAGCCATCTTACAGTGCTGGATATTATTCAAAGCCAAAAAGTCTCAAATTCATGAGATACGAAATGGACCGTTGTCTAAAACCAATATTTTAGGCAGTTCAAGTCTTCCAAACAAGCTGGAACGTATTACAACAGTTTGTTCTGTTGTAGTGCTTGACAACCCACTTATGATGAGCATACAAAGCTAATAAATACATTTGTCCATCCACTGGCTCTGCAACATCAATATGGATTCTTGTCCAAAGTTCAGTCACCAATGGCAAAGTTCTGGAGAAATTTCTGGTTGGATTGCCCTCGGCCTGTGCACATGCATTGCAAGCAGCTACATACGAAGATACATATGTACCCAACATAGGCCAAAAAATACATTCCTGTGATCTATGCTTTATTTTTACTACACCCTGATGTAAACTGTGTTGTGAACCCCAGAAATGACAGTCTGTGTCATGCACAGTTTCATTACTCCTTGTAAAGTATGGCTGAAGGTCAGGGCAAACTTTAGACCTCTTATGTTGAACACAATACTTAATCTCATGTAACCTACATTCAGAGCATGTATAAGTAGCAATCACCTGGAATTTAGATTCAGTGGCTGAGGAGGAGTTTCTATTAATTGAGATGATGTTGCCATATGATGTAACAGTGAAAAACTTAAACAAATCCACATTAGTATGATCACTGTCTCATTTATATCTAATTGAGTAGTTGTAAGCTATAGGCTGAAGTGCATATTGCTGAAGTTGAAACGTTGTGGTGTTACAGATACCATTCTGAGGGAGTAAAATGGACAATTGTGGTTTATGACACGTGATCAGAGTAACATTTCTGCCATATAGATAAATATGGAATTTCTTCACAGCTATAATTACTGCTTCTTGATCAATATGGGAGCTAGAGTTCTGGCACAAAAGACACAGGATGATCATAACCATCAGGCATAATGTGTGAAATTATTGTGCCAAACCATATGGCGAGGCATCACAGGCTAGTACTTAAGACTTCTTAAGGTTATACTGGACAAGGAGTCATGAATCCAGAAGAAGTTCTTCGCATTCAACTTAGTCAAGGCCCACTGGGTTTTACTATTTAAAAGATGGTGGAATACATTGACAGGAGTGGGAGCATGAATTAGTGCATTCACCTTTATCTCTTGTCACCTATATGCACACAATACTCCAAACGAATACTTCTCACTCACACGTCTGTATGTTTATTTTTAGTTCTAGTTCCTGTAGGCATTGTAAACAGCTTCAATATTTGCTTTATGAGCGGCATCAGTTTTACCAGTGATAAGCACGTCATCCAACATGCAATGAGTGTGTGGAATACCTGCCAGGATCTCATCCATTATCCATTACCACACAGCAGGCACTGAGGCAGTTCCTAACACCATCTGTTTATACTGAAAATGTCCTTTATGAGAGTTGATAGTTAATAGGTGTCAAGAGTATTGATGTACAGTGGTACCTCGGACTACGAGTTTAATCCGTACCGTGACCGAACTTGCAGTCCAAAAAACTCGTAATCCAATACAAATTTTCCCATGAAAATCAACGTGAATTCAAACAATGCATTCCAGACCCTCATACATATAAAAATTATTTTTAATGGAAATTACTCAAACAATTATTACCCCTAACATCACAAATGATTAACAATGAATAATTTACAATAAAAAAATACATATTTTACTATTTACCCTGCACTTTACCTTTGAGGAGAGTCGTGGCTGGCGTGAGGGAGACAAGGTAGAGGAGGAGGTCTCCTTCCAAGAGAACGTCGGAAGCTGTTTCCTCGGGGGTTCTCTCTTCACTATCGGATATTTTATGCCTTTTGGACTTACAAACTTTCGCAAGGAACCTATCTAATGAAACCTGCTTTTGCCTACTTTTCAAAATTTCATGGAAATGTGACATCGCATTATAATTAAACAAATTCACACTAGGAATTGCTACAGTCTTATTTGGGAGAACTGAGAGATTCCTCCGCCTTGTCCTCAGACGATAGTTCCTCTATAACCACATGCTGCTGCTCCTTATGCAGATACATCAGCTCATCAGTCGTCAGCACATCATGTACCTCCACCAACCCCTGGATGTCTTCATGGTCCATGTACACACCCATTGTGTTCCCCAAAGACACAATTTCATTGACGACTGGCTGCTCTTCTGGAGCGAAGCCCTCAAAATCATGTTCGAGAACGCACTAAAGCCACAGTTTCCTTCAAGAGGAATTGAGGTTTCTCTTGGTGACCCCCTTCCAGGCAGCTGATAATATGGAAATTTCCAAAATTCTCAGAGGGTGAGGTTTGTTCCTTCAGTCACCTCGAAACATCGCTGAAACAAGGCCTTAGTATACAGCCTTTTGAAGTTTGAGATTACCTGCTGATCCATAGGCTGAATGAATGGCATGGTGTTGGGAGGAAGGAACATGACCTTGATGAAACGGAATTCCTCCAGTAGGTCATCCTCGATGTCTGGAGGATGTGCAGGAGCATTGTCCATAGCCAGATAGCCTTTGAGAGGGTGGCCCTTATCAAGTAGGTACTGCTTGACAGAGGGACCAAAGCACTCGTTGACCCATTCAACAAACAGCATTCGCGTGACCCAAGCTTTGCTGTTGGACCTTCATAACCATACATTTCTTGAAGTCTCGTGGATTTTACGAGTGGTAGATAAGCAGAGGTTTCACCTAGAAGTCGCCACTTACATTGGCACAAAACAAGAGGGTGAGACAGGCTTTCATGGGCTTATGACCTGGCATGGCTTTCTCCTCAGCAGTGATATAGGTCCTCTTGGGCATCTTCTTCCAAAAAAGCCCAGTCTCGTAGCAATTGAAAACTTGCTGTGGCACATAACACTCGGAAACCACAAGCCTTTCGAACTCTTTGACGAATACCTCTGCTGCCTTGATGTCGGCGCTCGCAGCCTCCCCATGCCAGATGACACTTGAAGTTCTTGAACCAACCACGGCTCCTCTTGAAGCTCTTTTTGTCTGTTACAGATGGACCTGGCAGCTTAGTTTTCAGGCCATTGTACAAGGCCCTTGCCTTCTCGCAAATGATGCCCTTGGTGACTGTATCACCTGCCAACTGTTTCTCGTTTATCCAAATGAGAAGCAGCTTCTTGACATCTTCGAGAGTACAAGGATGCGGCTTCGTTATTGTCTTTATTCCCTTGGCTACGTTGATAGCCTTGATCATCTCTTCACGCTTCAGAATGGTGCAACTCATCAAGGTTGTACAGTTATACAACCTTGCTAAGTTCACAACTTTTGTATACCTCTTCGATGATCTCCTTCTTCACCTGCACAGTAATCGTCTTCTTCCCGCTTTCCTTCTTCATCATCTTAGGGGCCATTCTCAACACTACAGTACACACTGCACTTCACCTAGACGCAAAACACTTCACTTCACACTGCACTTCACGTGGTCGCGAAAGAACAATGAACACGTGAGTAAAAGACAGTACGTAATGCTTCCTCGACGATAGACGCACGGCAAAAGTTTGACTCGGTTCCTAAGTCATTGCTCGTAGTCCACAATACATTTTATTAAAATTAAAATCAAAACTCATAATCCACATTAGTCGTAATCCAAGGTTCCACTGTACCTTGAACTGCTATTACGCTTGATATGTTTGTCATGGCGCACCGACCGAGGCAGGCTTGCTGCGCTCACTCACTAGATGCCAACTTCATCAGAGACTCTACATATGGGTCAGGCACCACGATCACTTCAAATCACTGAAAAATCATCATGGTGTCTGGAGTAACACTTTAGGATCTAAATGAACCAATGCTGCACCACTTTGCACACACTGGTATTTTTCAGTCTGGACCATGTTTTAAAAATCTCACTGACAGCATGGAACTAAGGGAGAATTACTAAAGTTACAGTAAGACAAATAGTCATGAAATTCCAAAATTATGTTAATGATAAGTATCTGATCTGTAGCAGCCATAAATCAGGAGTAAAATTAAAAAATACAATATCTATATACAGCAGCTCTGAAAGATGATTCCTCAATATTCCCAGAGGCCAATGCAATTTAGCATGAATAACATTGTCACATAGTATGAATAACATTGTTCATATTTCAGACCACATTTTCTTTCATTTTTTAAAGGAACACTGTGGGCACCATAACCACTACAGTGTACTGTATTGGCTGCCATTAGTGTCCTTGTGTCTACATATTGTATGTGATCAAACCTTTTTTTTAGAACTGTTTGACTTAATACCTAGGCTAGGGGATAGGTGTAACGAGAATATACCCCAACACGCAGGATTCAGCTAAACAGAAGACAACACAGAGGAGAGATATGTCTACCGGACCTTAGAATGGCCGGACTCGACGTATATGAGAGGAGACAGAGTCAGGAACGATCCGAAATCAAGGGCACAGAGAGACAGCGTAAACTAGGACAAGCCGGGGTCTGGTACACAGTAAACAACAAGCCGACAACCAGAACAGATAAGGATAAAGAGAAAACATAGTCAGAAACAAAGCCAAGGTCAATACGGAGAAACACAACTGAACACAACAAGCGCTAAAGGGAACTGATACAGAAACCACGATAGGGCAGGGAGTAGAGGGAGAGGTAAGTTTAAATAGCTTCAAAACTAATGTGATTGGCTCCTGTCATATCCACACCCCCAAAAGGTAAGTGTATGGGGAGTGTGGTATGACAGGGGCCAATGGGAGCCTTTTGACAATTTAGGCTCCCACTGTCTCTTTAAGAGCGCGCCCGAGACTCGCGGCGCGCTCTTAGATTCAGGCGGGACACGTGACCGCTTCTCGCGGTCACTGCCCGCCTTGCTAGTGGAGCCGTTGGATGAGCCGCGCGCGGCTCGTGCAGCAGCATGACCGTGCGCGGCTTGAAGAGAGGACCGCTGCCGGCCCCTGGAGAAGGTGAGTAACGCTACAGTAGGCAACCTTTGTCGCTCCAGATGTGGTGGGATAATTCTCCCATAATGTTCTTACAGCCCTAATGCTGGAAAAGCATCAAGGGTAATGGAGTCAACAACATCTGTAGTACCGAAGGTTGCCTACACCTGACCTAGGCTCTTTTTGTGCTGTTCCCTCGTGCGCCCAGCTATGATGTCGAGAGCTAGGATATGACGTTACAAAAATATGTACCTATGAATGAACCTAGTAATCACTGCAGGCTAGGAGAAAAGGAATTGTTTATATTGCTGCCTAGTAACACCTATAGTGGCAGTCGCTAGAGACATGCGCAATAGCCCCTCAATGCTTTCTTATCATTGATGATCTCAGCCATGGAGTAAGGGCCAGTGGTGATGAGACTTGCATGGCGTTGGAATAATGGTGAGCAAAAAAAAATAAATATATATGTATATGTATATATATATATATATATATATATATATATATATATATATATATATATATATATATATATATATACATATATATATATATATATATATATATATAATACACAACCTAGCACACTCGCTTATTCCCTAAACAATGATTTCAAATTTTACAGATTGTAATAGTTTTATTTAAAAAAAACTTCACATAAGCAAAAAATAATGTGGGTTTCGTAACATTATATGATCATATATTGCATAAGCTTACCACAATGTCAATATACCCCAAACATTTAGTTGTAACCAGAAAAGTTTGACGCACAGGAACAGAGGGGTTGAGGGCCCTGCTCAATGAGCTTACATGTTAGAGGGAGTGGGGTAAAGTGACACAAAAGGTAAGGATAGTATTAATAGTATTAGACTAATGACAGTTGCAAGAGAGGAATCAATGATAAACCTTCGGCAGAGATACCACTTGTAAATCTAATGCTTTATTTCTACATTAATGTTAATTTATTTTAAGTTATTGTGCTATATTTGTGAGGTTGGTGACACATACTTTTCTGAGGCTGCTTTCTCTTTTTGAAACAGAGAGTGTTAATACTAATACTATTTATGGAGAAACCTGTGATCAAGTGTTAAATGCAATACAAAACATGTTAGGTGGAGTTGTTGCATTCAACTTTGGGCTGTGATACTGTTAAAGGAAGCATTTGCTATGGTGCTCAGGTCCCAATTGTAACATTCTTTTAAAATGCCCAATAAAGGTTAAAGGATCACTATAGTGTCAGGAAAACAAAGCGGTTTTCCTGACACTATAGTGGCCTGAGAGTGCCCCCACTCTCAGGGTCCCCCTCCCGTGGCGATGAAGGGGTTAAAACCCCTTCAGTTACTTACCTTACTCCAGCGCCAGGCTCCCTCGGCACTAGTGACCTCTCCTCCCCCGCCGATGTCAGCTTCCCCATCCGATGTCAGCAAAGCAGAATGCGCATGCACGGCAAGTGCCGCACGCGCATTTAAAGTGTCCATAGGAAAGCATTTCTCAATGCTTTCCTGTGGACGCTCTGCGCGATGGAGGCTAAATGTGCCTCCAGCGTCGCAGATGCGCCTCTAGTGGCTGTCCGGAAGACAGCCACTAGAGGCTGGATTAACCCCAAATATAAACATAGCAGTTTCTCTGAAACTATGTTTGCATCTGAAGGGTTAAAACCTGAGGGACCTGGCACCCAGACCACTTCATTGATCTAAAGTGGTCTGGGTGACTATAGTGTCCCTTTAAGTTCCAACTTTTCATAATCTTCAAGTGTTGTATACTACTTTGATGCCTATCCCAGGTAATCTGTCTAGCCGTTCTAAAACAGTTTAACTGCTTACAATGGGAGTGGAGATGCCCGGGCACTTCTGGCACCATAACCACTACAGCAAACTGTAGTAATTATGCTCTTTGCAATGTTCCTTTAAGTTTTAAGACTACTTTCTCATGAATAGCTTTTTTTGGACCTAAAAGGACCTATTTCCAGCTGATGCTAGGTATATATAGATCAATACATTACATTGCTGTTCTTAAAGTTCCCTGATTACCTTAAATAATTAATAGAAGTGGGAAGTAAGTCATTGCATTAACCATATAACAGTCCTATTGTAGATGAATACATAAAGGACAATTAGAAAAGTATCATCTATTTACTAGATATCATAATGGAAAATCAGTTCGGTGTATATAACAAGTTATGGTATCCTTAGGATATATGAATAAACTAATTTAAAATCATTATGTCCTATATGACACAAAACAGATCTAAATAAAATAAGACCTACTTCTGCTGATAGATACCTACATAAAGTCATTAATGCTAATTCATCTAGCTAATTGCATTCACAATTTGAATTAACCCATGTTGCTGACATTACATCTACTATCTGCTACTTGATATTCACCAGCTATAAGGTGACATTTTGTCTTCATTTTTAGATCTGTAACATAGAATGTAAGGTGCTAATTGGCTGCAATTTGTAATCTACTTGACGTGTAAATATATCACTGTTATTAAAATAAACTATGTTTGCTTACAGTATTCTACTTGGTTTAAATGTGATAATGATAACATTAACATGTATTTGATATATTTAGAATTTACCATATTGCACTAGATTAATAGAATTAAATTTATGTATTTTAGACAGAAGTCCAGCATCAAAAATAATACGAAATAACTTTTTAACTCCATGTTTTTAGATAAATTTTGAGTATTCAAATTATAGCTCCAGTTGCATCAAGCTTTCGTATGTTTCTCTCACAGCAATGATGCAAGGTAGATGAAGAATACATTAAGAAGTCAACAAGTGGATGAATCATAAAAAGAGTCTGCCAAAACGTCCAGAGATTGTTCGTAAAAGAGCTCCAGAGGTGCCACACGTATTTTTGATGGAAGACACCGTCACTTTCTAACTTTATTCACTTCTTCTCCCATTCATGTCTATGTTGTGTGTAGGTGTGAGGTACAGGGGTATCATAAATGTCAGAGATTATGTTGAATGCTAATTGTCTTGTATAAGGGATGTTTCTTGGGATTTTATATATTGATGAGTTGAACCTGTGACTCCGTTTCTCATATATCTAAAACATGCTGGGCATGTAAGACACTCATTTTTGCCTAGCTGACATATGTTTATGCTAGAAACAACCAACTATAAGCAACTGGCGGTGAAAAAACAAGTTGATATAACATGCAGCAGTGTGGACAGTAATATCTCATGGAAAAGTGCTATATGTTTAGAAAAAAAGGGTCTCAGCCATAAATATATACAGGAGCTGTACAAACAGTGCTGTGCAATCCATTTTACCTATAGCAGATGTGGGAAGG